GGGCTCAGGACCATAGTCACAGGGGACATCAAGCTCAATTGACATAACATACTACACAAAACATTGTTCCACCTCCTACTTTGGCAAGTAGCAGCTCGGATCTTAAAAGTTTGCAAGCAGCCATCTAGATGCAACAATGGGTCTCTTCTCGTCCAGAGCAAAGAAGAATGAAGAAAACCAAAGATTCATGGAAATAATTAGTCCTAGCAACTGGAACACCATGCGATCCGCAGCCTATATGACTGTGAGATGAGAAGAACTAGACGGTGCCCGGCTACCACTGTCAACCACTTGGAAGGGGATCTATATAGGAGATCTCGGATAGAGAAGGAAAACGATGTGGAACAAAACACAAAATCATTTGGGGGAAAAAAAGGAGGGGGATTAGATTTGCTGGTCTGATAGAGCCTGGTGGAACCACTGAGACTATGGCCCCTAGCTGCCCTTCAGGTCTGGAGTTGAACCCACACCTGTGGTTTCCAGCCAAACAAAATACAGGCATATGAGTTGAACATTTACCTGAGGTAGATATACTCCTTGGAGAGAACAATTACGGAAGAAAGAAGGGCTGTTTATGCACAGGGAGACAGCTCAGGGGGCAGGAGTGCATGGAGGGATAGACACAGGGAAGAGTTAACTATGGGAAGGAAGTGGGAGAGGAGCTTTTGCATGTGGTAAATTGTAGTCAATGTCATGAGACAAAGTGTATCTGAACTGCTGTATGGAAAGTGAATTTGCTCTGTACATTTTCACCCAAATCACAATTAAAAAAAAAAAAAAGAAAAAAAGAAAGAAAGAAAGAAAAAAGAAACCCAATGGGGGTCACTATGCATTGGAATTGACTCAATGGCAGTGAATTTTTAGTTTGTGTCTCTGTTCTTATCACAACTGATTATACAGAATTAAATCTAGGCAATCTTTATCTTTCTTGTTCCCTTTCAATACATAATATATTAAGATTACTGAAAAGTAATATTGGGATATAGAGATTTTAGTTATTATACTTTAAAAATATAGGGCTTAAAATATTCTTCCTCCACTAGCACATATGTTCTGTAAATTGCGTTACCCTCAGAATATAGCATCCTCATGAAATGTTGAAAATTGAGGTTAAATTTGTCCCAGAGGGAAGAAAATAGCATGATGATATGCAAAAAATAGATGAGCATTTATTAAAAAGGACTCAAAAACAACAGAGGAAAGACTCATGAAAATACTTTCCCAAGACTAAGATGCACCTAACCCAAGCCATGGTATTTTTCAATTGCCTCATATGCATGTGAGAGCTGGGCAATGAATAAAGAAAAGTGAAGAAGAGTTGATGCTTTTGAGTTGTGGTGTTGACGAAGAATGCTGAAAGTACCAAGGACTGCAAAAAGAACTAACAAATCTGTCCTGGAAGAAGTGCAGCCAGAATGCTCTTTGGAAGCGAGAATGGCCAGACTTCTCACCTACTTTGATCATGCTGTCAGAAGGGACTGTTCTGGAAAAGGATATCATGCTTGGTAAAGTGGAGGGTCAGTGAAAGAGGGAAAGGCCCTCAACAAGATGGACTGAAACGGTGGCTGCAGCAATGAATGGGCTCAGGTATAGTAGGGATTGTGAGGCTGGCACAAGACCGGGCAGTGTTTTGTTCTGTTGTACCTAAGGTCGCTATGAGTCGGAGACAAAGTGACAGCACATAACAATAAGAACAAGTCTCAAAAATGACAGACAATATGATATCTGTAATGATTTAGAAACCTCAAGGAAGAAATAAAGCTCAGAGACAAGGTTATTACAAAACAAAGAGAGTGAAACAAGTTTTGCTAAATTAAGAAAAAAAAATAAAGAGTAAGAATATTGCAATGACAAAAGCAAATGAGAAGGGAGAGAGGCAATATAAATAGCAATACTACAATGATATGAATCGGTCCGACTCCACGGCACATAACAACAACAACAATGATACAAAATTAAAAGGAAAAATAACAAATTGTTACAATGTCTAATATATACATACATGGGGTTTTGAAATAGAAAAGAAGTAAGGGAAAAGTGCTAAATATGTATTTTTTCTTAGCTAAAGGAAAATTTAAATCTGTCTTGAAAATAAACACTGTCCTAGGAAAACTTGATTTCATGTGATCGACATTAACATGAACCCTACATTTTATTTGACTGGATTTGGACAGCACTATGGTTTTTGGATGCTACTAACATGCTTCCCCCATTCTATCTCCCTGCGCTTACATACACTTTTTATTTTCTTTTTTAGATCGTAACTTTTTATCAGACTCAAAATTACGAGGCAGCAGATAATTATTTCCAGTTACAGTGAGTATGATTTCTTAAAGAATCTATTCTATATGTTACTTGGGTTATTGATTTATAGGTATTTGTCTGTTTAAATAGCCACCTACATTTTAAATAACCAGCATTCAAGTTCCTTTAACTGTCTGAATAGAAGCCATGAAATTAGTTTTTAATTGTAAAAAAAGGTAAACTATTCCTTATAGTTAAATGGAAATCTGACCTGTTTGAAGGTTCTCATCCATTCAAATGAGGATGGGGGAAGGGATGGGCAATTTCTTAATTCAGTAATTTTCTATCATGTTTTATCATTAATTCTCATCCCAAAGTCTTGTCATTTAATTCTTAAGCAAAAACAAGAACTCTAACATCACAGAATGGTTTAAATGTGAGTAGAGTCAGATAAAGCACTACCTTTGACCCTTGGGCTAAGGAAGCACCTAAGCACTTAAATTTGACTGCTAACTAGAAGGTTGGTGGTTCAGACTCACCAGCCAGTCCACAGAAGGAAGAAAGGCAATCTACTTCCTTAAAGATTTACGACCTCAGAAACCCAAAGGGGGTCACTATGAGTTGAAATTGACTCAATGGCAGTGAATTTGGTTTTGGTTTAAAAAAAAAAAAAAACTAAAACTCACTGCCATCAAGTAGATTCGAGTCATAGTGACCCCTCCTTGGGTTTCCAAGGCAGTATCACCACAGAAGTAGATTGCCCAATCTTCTTTCTGAGGAGTGGCTGGAAGGTTTGAACCACCAGCCTTCTGGTTAGCAGTCAAATGCCTTAGGCACTACACCACCAGAGCTCTGGTTTTGGTTTAAGCACTTAAAATTTCTGGAGGAAAACAATCAGCCTGGAATTGTGTCTTAAGGCATTCATATGGTTGTCCATAGAGTCCCTGGGCAGTACAGGAGGTTAATGAACTCGTCTGCTAATTAGAAGGTTGGAAATTTGAGTCCACCCAGAGACACCTCAGAAGGGCTTAGCCATCTTCTGAAAGATCAGCTACTGAAAACCCTATGGAGCACAGTTCTACTCTGACACACATAGACTTGCCATGAGTCAGATTCAACTACACAGCAACTGATTTTTATATAGGAAAAAGTCCATTTTTCTTTAGTCTGCTACTAGTCCAAGTGAGTTAGCATATCCACTTTATGCCAAGTACTTACTGTTGTTGTTGTTGTTTGCCGTGGAGTCAGCCCCGACTCATAGCGACCCCTCCTTGGGTTTCCGAGGCAGTATCACTACGGAAGTAGGATTGCCCAACCTTCCTTCCGAGGAGTGGCTGGTGGGTTTGAACCGCCAGCCTTCTGGTGAGCCGTCAAGTGCCTTAGGCACTATGCTACCAGAGCTCCTAAGTACTTACTAAGTGTTTAAAATACATGGTGAACAAGTAAGTACTTTTCTCACAGAACATATCTCTAGTGAGAGAAGACAAACAGAAAGTAAACAAATAAATAAACAAAGTAATTCCAAATGATAATAAGTGCTACTAAGAAAATAAAGCAGAATGATGTGATAGACAATGCCCAGGAAGGGTAGGGAGAAAATGCTACTTCAGATACAGAAATCAGAGGAGGCTCAATTCATCTCTTTTCCCTTCACCTACCAACTTTTCTCTTAATTCATCTAATGTTGTTGGGTATGTTAGAGTATATTTGATTTTGTGGATATTTACTCAGAATTCTGTAGCTGTAGAACAGACATAGGAGCTCTGGTAGCATAGTGCCTAAGGACTTGACTGCTAACCAGAAGGCTGGGCGTTCAAACCAACCAGTCACTCCTCGGAAGGAAGGTTGGGCAATCTACTTCCATGGTGATACTGCCTTGGAAACCCAAGGAGGGGTCACTATTGAGTTGAATCCACTCAACAGCAGTGATTTGGGTTGGTTTTCTTTTCCTTTTCTTTCTTTCTTTTTTTTTTTTTGGACTCTTAGAATTGATGGAACACAGTACAGTGTTTAAAAATGTACTAGCTATATCCTCACTTTTTATTATGTTTTATAAGACAAATTGATAAATATAATAACATATTGAAAACTGAAAGAAAAGAGGACATTTGTTTGTGGTTAGTTTCTTATGTTTGTTTTCTCCCCATTTTTCTGGAAAAGTAAACGTCTTAGTGTAGGCATGGGGTGTGAATAATGCTTCCAAAATTTCTCTTTTTCTTATTTTTTGAGTCTTCACATTTTCCTCAACCCAAAATGATCCATGTGCTCTTTACAGTCTAAAAAGGCATTATGTTTGACCTACCTTTTGATATCAAACAGCTTATTATGCAGCTTAATGTGGTTCAGAAAACAAATTTCATAACTTATTCTTTATTCCCAGAAGTGTATCAAGAGGGAGTGGGAGAGAATTGGTGGGGTCTAGAGGAGGAAGCAATACTGTAACCACAGCTTTATAATTGTGTCACAAAGTAGGACAAGATGTCAGCATCAGATCTCAATCTTCCAGAGACTAGGGGTGTTAATGAAATAGTGGGATGAAAATGTGATGGATGCTCATTTCTGTTTCCCACTGAGACAGCCCTATGCTAGCCAAAGCATGAGACACCATGAAGTGGGATTGACTCTAAAAGATAACAGTAATGCAGAGGTGCTTAGCAAAAGCAGTGAGTATTTACCAGTACACCCTCCAGGCCTTTAGAACTCTTCAATACCACTGTGTATGTGGAACTTTTCATCTGTCTACATACAGGCAGATTCATGTGTTTCTCTCTTGTGATTCTATACTAACATGCACAGATTGTTTCTCCTAGAGACCAGAACTCAGGTGTTGTGGTTTATAATGTTCGGCCTAGTAAATATTCAAAAGCATGTACAGCATCCCACAAGGTAAGTCACATAGGTAGAAGATTTAAAAAAAATTACTTCAAGAATTCATAGTGATAAATTATGAATAATACAGTAATGCATATTACCTCCATACAACTTCCCTAATTCTTAGCAACATTTTGTAATGTTTCATTGTAGAGATAGCATTATTGGTTTTTTTAAATTATTGTTGCAAATATATATATATATATAACATTTTTCAACTCAAAATTTTTCAAGTGTACAATTTAGTGATATCAATTACATTAATTACATTGTGCAATCATCTCCCATTTCACTTTGTTTTATTTTACTTTGGAAACACAAGTTCAGATTTCTGCCTTCTGTGAGTTTACCATCTACTGTGATATATGTATATAAACATATACCAAAAATGCTAATTATTCATTTTTGAAGAGAAATAGAAATGTGTAAAAGTACTTACAACTGTATCAATAAGCAACATCATGATAAATAGAGAACACACTGAATTTGTCAAGGATTTCTTTTTACTTGGATCACAATCAATGCCCATGGAAGTGGCAGTTAAGAAATCAAGTGACTTATTGCATTTGGCACATCTGCTGCAAAAGACCTCTTTAAAGTGTTAAAAAGCAAAGATGTCACTTTGATGACTAAGGTACACCTTACACAACCCATGGTATTTTAATCACCTCATATGTATGTGGAAGCTGGACAATGAAAAAAGAAGATCAAAGAAGAATTGGCGCATTTGAAATATGATGTTAGTGGAAAATATTGAACATACACCATAGATTGCCAGAAGGATGAATAAATCAAGTACAACAAGGAAACTCCTTAAAAGTCAGGAAGGTGAGACTTTGTCTCAGTGACTTTGGACGTGTTATCAGGAGGGACTAATCCGTGAAGAAGGACATCATGCTTGGTAAAGTAGAGGGTCAATGAAAAACAGAAAGACCTTCAACTATCTATTCAGAGATAGATACAGATAGATAGTAGGTAGAATATATCTATGTTCTATCTATTATAAAATATAATAGATATAGAATAGATAGGTAATAACTAGAATCTATCTATTCAGAGATAGATTGACATAGTAGCTGCAACAATGGGCTCAAACATACCTATTACTTTGAGTATGTTATAGGACGGGAGCTCTGGTAGCGTAGTGGCTAAGGCACTTGACTGCTAACCAGAAGGCTGGTGGTTCAAACCCACCAGCCACTCCTCGGAAGGAAGATGGGGCAATCTACTTCCATAGTGATACTGCCTCAGAAACCCAAGGAGGGGTCGCTATGAGTCGGGTCTGACTCGATGGCACACAACAACAACAACAACATGGTATAGGACTAGGCAACCTTTTGTTCTGTTATACTTAGGGGTGCTATGAGTTGGAGCCAATTCAATGGCACCTAACAACAACAACAGAAAACAGAAATGAATGAGAACTACTAAAGTTGGAAATGATTTGTCTAAGAAGATGCCCATATCTATCCTACATTATTCATTCAAACAATTCAATCAGTTACTCATTCAAAAAATATATTATTTGCCTACCATGTGTCTATGTTTCAATTAGTGTGCTAGGTAATAGGAGTTATGAAGATGAAAAGACTGAGTACTTGCTATAGTAGTAAACATAGATTAGCTTAAGAGAATGTGGTATACACATAAACAGGACAGAGGAGAGAGTGAGCGATTTTGATTGTAAAGGAAAAGGTAAAAAGAAGGTGATACATAAAATGACTATTAAAGAATAAGTAGAAGTTCAGCAGGCTGGTGCAAAAAGAACTCCAGGAAAAGGCATATGGAAAGTACAGAGATAGGAAGTAACAATGCAAGTATTATGAAATTAAAAATATATTCTTAACAAAAATAACATCCTCTGAGTCTATATTACATATTTCAGTATGCCTTCTCTCTTTATTCCTTCTTGGCCTAACTAACTCTCAATGAAACATATATTTAGCACCAAGTCTATGTCAGGCATTGTGTTATATACGTGGGGAATGCAAAGTTAAATAAGACAAGGCCCCTGCCCCGCAGGACCCCGGTACAAGGAACCTGTTCCTACCAGAGGCGGTCCCTGGGGAGTACAAACAGTTAACAGGCTTGGATGCTAACTGAAAGGTTGGTGATTCAAATCTACCCAGAGGCACCTCAGAAGAATGGCCTGGTTATCTATTTCTGAAAAATAAGCTACTGAAAACCCCATGGAGCACAGTTCTGCTCTGACACACACAGACAGGGTCACCATAAGTCAGAACCCACCCAATGGCAACTGTTTTTTTCTGAACTGAGGCAGATGTGATCTATCCTCAAGTGCTGCTGACACAAAGTGCTTCCCCAAGAAATTGCCTGCAGCTGCTTGTCAACAACTCCCTTATCAGCCTAGCAAGCAACTCACCCAGCTTAATCCCTTTATAAAGCAAGAAACCAAAACCTCATTTCTCCCAGTTCCTGCCCCAACCTATGTCTGTTTTCTGTCTTCAGCTTGTTGACAGCTCCACTCTATTCCAATGATGATAACTTCCTGAAATGCTGTGGTTTCTTCCATCCCTTTCCTTCTCCAGCCTGTAGATTTTTTAGGAATCCCTATGCACCCTGTCCTGCACAACCAGTCATTACAAAGGCAGGTTGCTCTAATCTGAGTTCAGATCCAAGTTCTACCACTTATGAACTTGGGCAAGGTACTTACACATTCTGATTGCCAGTTGCCTCATTCATAAAGTAAAAGATATAACACCTTTCTCACAGCATTGCTAAGAGTAGTTGTTGTTGTTGTTATTTGCCGTCGAGTCGGCCCCGACTCATAGCGACCCCTCCTTCGGTTTCCGAGGCAGTATCACTACAGAATTAGGGTTGCCCAACCTGCCTTCCGAGGCTAAGAGTAGTAAATAAATAATAAATAACTTATATACAGTACCCAGAACAGTGTCTGTCACATAGTAATTATATTATACTACTGGTTTCTTCCTTCTCTTCCCTCCTTGGCACACTCCAAGACATGCACAGTTCAAATCTAGCCACCATTGCAGATAGTTTGTATTGGTCCACCCACTGAAACAGAATGGAGAAATACGCAGTGGTCCTTTAGACAATAAGAAAATGTGTCTTTGTGGAGGTACATGCTCTACCTGTGAAAAAAATAAATAAAACTTGTGCACAACTACAAGGTTTGCTTCAACCACAAGGACAATTCTTTCTGCTCCTGTTCCCACAAGCAAGCATGTCATCAGTTTCACAGATAAATATTATAGAGACACAAGGCCCAGCTCTATATGTATATGTAACCAGGGCCTAAAGACTTCTCCAGGCAAACGAAGTTGTTGTTAGCTACCATTGATTAAGCCCCCAACTCATGCACAATGTAACAAAATGCTGCCCAGTGAAGTTAGGTACTTGTTAAACTTGTTGACTAAATGGACTATGGACCGAGCCATTTGAATAGGAGGAACCTGTTGTCTGCGTCACTTAGTCCTGATAGCCGGCAGCAGACTAGCTCTAACAGGGCTGCAGCTCAGTTTTCACCATTCGCCAAGAACCAGGAATGCAATGAGCCATCCTGGAAGACTGGTCCCAAAGTGCAGTAATTCGTTCCAAGATGAATTTTACCAAGGAGGGATGACTACAATTCTGTCCAAGATATTCTCTACCAAAGCGTCTGTGTCAAGGCCCTTTAGAATTCCTGCCCCAGTTATTCTGCCCCAATCAGAAGGAATTTGTTGTGTCTGACTCTGAGGTAAGGCAGGATCAGTCCACCCTGTCTCTACACTGAAGAGAATAATAGTATGCTAGATGCACTCATTATTTTTATTTAGACCATTGTCACAAGCTATCTAGTTAGGTGTCCAGGCCTGGGAAACACATGTCAGCCCTGCTGCAGTGGGTACCCTAGAAAACAGGCTTATTCATGCTTCCCACATGCTGCATCTATCCACAGATGTTTCAAGATCCACCTACAGGTTAGTTCACATTTTTAATACTAGCCATGGTTGTTGATTCTGAGGCCAAGGACAATTTTTGTCAACTAGGACCTGAAAGAGAAAAGATGTTATGAATTAGATCATCAAGTCATACTGGGCCCTGACTACGACAGATTTGAAGACTTCAGTTAGCCATGTACGGATAACTTAGAAGAGATAGAAGATAGGCCCATGTTTCTGAACACATTTACTAGGAAGGCAAAGATTTGATGATAATGGCAATGAGGACTGTGGGTAGAGTTGCTGAAAGAACAAACTCAAGTTCTGTGGTGGATCTAGTGATCCACCTGATCTAGGTGAATAGGGAAACAAAATCCATGAGCTTGCTCTGTGGAATGGACTTTTATATGAAGCCTGAAAGGTCTTGATTTAGTAGGACTGACTGTAAATCCACTAAACATGGCTGGCCATTTCTCTCTGTCTCCACCCTCCTGACTCCCAAGTCCCTCTTAGAAGAAGTGTGTAATGAAAACAAGTAATAGGGCTTTTCCAGGTTTACCTTGTGAAAATATGCAACATACAGTGCCATGTTTAAAGCAGAATGTAGTTTCCAGATACCACTTTGAAAGCCAAGAGGAGGGGTAGGAGTGAGTAAGGTTTCCTGGAGCCAGGTAGAAAACCAAATAGGCATCCCAGTCAAGGGAGAACCAGAACTCTGGCTAAAGAGAAGTCAAATTAGGACCTAGATAGAATAGATAATGTCCAGCGTAAAGACCAAGGCAATACTGGCGTTTAAGACATCATGAGTTTGAGGTTAAGTAGAATAGAAACTTGCCCACTGAGTCAGAGGTGCAAGCTGGAGGTACAGAGTTAAGAGTCATGATTGTAGAGCTGATGGTGAAAGATAACATTGGACCGGTCTGAAAAATGATGTAGGGAAGCAGAAAACCAGCCTTTAGGCCTGTGAGTAAGTAGTAAGAACAAAAGGAAGCAAAGAAAGAGAAAAAAGTGACCAAAGGAGAAGAAGGAAAACAGCAAAAGCCATATAACAAAATCTTATACTTGAAAGGTTATTATTTCAAATCTAAAATGCAATTGCTTTTCACTTTAGTATAATTTTAGATCACATGAATTATAACTACTCAACTTACTATGTATATTATTTCATTGTAGGTGTTCCAAGTAGCTGTTGGCTGTAGTCCCAAGAAATATATTGCTGTTAGAGGGCAAGTGTATTTCTATTTGATTTGTCTTGCTCTTTTAATTTTAAAACAAGTGGTGAACCAAGTGGTAACTGTTATCAATAATAGTTTAATGACTGACATGTCCATAATGAATGCCAATAATGAAAAGCCATAATGAAAACTGACATTGTTGTCCAGTTTCAATTGGTTTAACTTTTTGCCAAGTCAAATACTATACTTGAATCGTGCTAAAAGAATTAACCCCTTTCTTTGTTACCAGGATTTTTCTCCACTTCTCCTTTTATTTATTTATTTTCTTAGGTTGTGTTGGGGCCCCAAGAATTTTTATTTTTGTTTTATCTTCCCCTTCACCCAAAGTTATATGTATCTGCTTTCTAGTTAGTAGTTTGCCCTCTCTTTCCTGTTGACCTCTGGTAACCATCAAAGAATTATTTGTTTTTATGGAAACTTTTTTTCTTTAACAATAGTGATCTTGTACAGTATTTGTCTTTTTCTGATTGTACTAATTTCACTTAGTATAATGTCCTCTAGGTTCACCCATGTTATGAGATGTTTCAGGGATTCATTGCTGTTCTTAACATTACGCAGTATCCTATAGTGTATATTACCAAATTTGTTGATCCATTTTCCATTGCTGGGGATTTAGGTTGTTTCCATCTTTTTGCTATTGTGAATAGTGCTGTGATGAACATACGTGTACATGTATCTGTTCACATCATAGCTCTTGTATTTCTAGGATATATACCTAGTAGTGGAATTGCTGGATCACATGGTATTTCTATTTTGCTTTTTAAGGAAGCACCACACCATTTTCCACAATGGTTGCACCATTTTACAGTCCCACCAGCAGTGTATGAGGGTTCCAGTCCCTCCATACCCTCACCAACATTTGTTGTTTTCTATTTTTATGAGCTTTGCTATTTATGCTGAGGTGAGATGATATCTCATTGTTATTTTGATTTGCATCTCTCTAAGGGCTAATGATTGTGAGCATTTCTTCATGTGCTTGCTAGCTGCCTGAATGTCTTCTTTGGTGACATGTCTGTTCATGTCCTCTACCATTTTTTAATTGGTTATTTGTACTTTTGTTGTTAAGATATTGAAGTTTTCTATAAATTTTAAAGCCCTTTATCTGATATGTTGTTGCCAAAAATTGTTTCCCCGTCCATGGGTTCTCTTTTACTCTTTGTATGAAATATTTTGATGCACAGAAGTGTCTAAATTTTAGGAGGTCCCAGTCATCTATTTTGTCTTCTAGTATATGTGAATTTTTAGTTGTTTGATAGTGTATTTATGTTGAGTTTAAACCGCCAGCCTTCTGGTTAGTAGTCAAATGCCTTACGCACTATACCACCAGAGCTCCCATGCTGTAAATTAGGGCCCCTAAATTTGTTTGCATTTTTCTTTGATAATTTTTATGGTTTTAGGTTGTATGTTCAGGTCTTTGATCCAACTTGAGTTCATTTTTGTATGTGGTATGAGATACAGGTCCTGTTTCATTTTTCTGAAAATGGATATCCAATTTTGCCAGCATCGTTTCTTTTTTTATTATTATTTGGGTGAAGATTTACAGAGCAAATTCACTTTCCATACAGCAGTTCACTATACTTTGTCTCATGTCATTGACCACAGTTTACCACAATGCAACAGCTCCCCTCCCTCTTCCTCCCCATAGTTACCTCTTCCCAGTGTCCATCCCTCCATACTCTCCGGCCCCCTGAGCTGTCTCCCTGTGCATAAGCAGCCCTTCTTTCTCCCATGATTGTTCTCTCCAAAGAGTGTATCTCCTTGAGTTAAATGTTCAAGTCATATGCCTGTATTTTGTTTGGCTGGAAACCAGTGGTGTGGGTTCAATTCCAGACCTGAAGGGCAGCTAGGGGCCATAGTCTCAGTGGTTCCACCAGGCTCTATCGGACTAGCAAACCTGGTCCCCACCTTTTTTTTTTTTTTTTAAATGATTTTGAGTTTTGTTCTACATTGTTCTCCTGCTCTATCAAGGATCTCCTACATAGATCCCCTTCCAAGTGGATGACAGTGGTAGCCGGGCACCATCTAGTTCTTCTGGTCTCATAGTTGTATAGGCTGCAGATTGGATGGTGTACCAGTCTCTAGGACTAATTGTTTCCATGAATTTTGGTTTTCTTCATTCTTCTTTGCTCTGGATGAGGAGAGACCTATCATTGCATCTAGATGGCAGCTTGCTAGCTTTTAAGATCCCAGTCACTACTCGCCAAAGTAGGAGGTGGAATAATGTTTTATATAGTATATTATGCCAATTGAGCTTGATGTTCCCTGTGACTATGGTCCCAAGCCCGCAGGTTCAACTACTTGGTCCCTCTGGGTAGCTGGCTGTGACCAAGCAGTGACCACAACCTTGACTCTTGTCAGCTCTACTATACACCTGGAAATTCTGATCATTCACATAAACTTATAGGACCATTGTCTGTCAACTTTATATATGTTCTTGGATACACCCCCCATTTCATAGACATACCTAATTATTTAGCCTGTCCACTCATCTATCCATCCATATACCCATGTTTGCCTTCACTGACAATGCAGTACTGCATGGCCAGCACCATTTCTTAAAGAAATTATCTCTCCCCATATAATGAGTTTCAGCCCTGTGTCAAAGATCAGCAGTCCATAAGTGTATGGATTTACTTCTGGGTTCTCAATTCTATTCCATTGGTCTGTATGTCTGTTTTGTACCAATACCAATACTGTATAATGGGTTTTGTGATCAGGGAGTGTGAGCCCTTCTCCTTTGTTCTTCCTTAGTAGTGCTTCACTTATTTGGGATCTCTATCCTTTCCATATAAACTTGGTGATTATCAACTTCTCCTTTTAATAGAGCAAGTTTACATTTGTCCCCCTTACCTCTCTAAGCTCTTCAGTTTACAACCTTTCCTAGAGAAATGAGAAGAAACACTTAACTCTGTTTTCCATCTTACTCACAGCAGTTTTAATTTTGCTTCCTCTAGAGAATCTCAAGCTGTGAATTTTGTTGATCTTACTATGGTTCACAATGAAGCACATAGGATTTTCATTATGCTTAAAAATATTTTAAAATTGCCATTTAAAAAATTTCAGGTATGCATTTCAATACTGTTAATTACATTCACCATACTGTACAACCATCGCCACTATTTCCAAAACTTTTTCATCACCCGAAACAGAAACTCTGTGCCCATTAAGCAATAACTCCCTTTTCTTTCCTACTCCCAGTCCCTTATAACTTCTAATCTACTTTCCATCTCTATGAATTTTCCTAATCTAGATTTAAAAAAAAAAAAACCAAAACTCATTGCCATCGAGTTGATTCCAACTCATAGTGATCCCCTTTGGGTTTCCCAGGTGGTAAACTTTTTTAAAAAATGAAAACAAAATGAGTAGATTGTCCAGTCCTATTCTATAGTCCATATAAATTTCTACTTCATGTATTAGGTAACATTTTGTGTCTGGTCTATTTCACTTAACCTAATGTTTTCAAAGTTCTTCCATGTTGTAGCATGCACCAGAACTTTATGGCTGAATAATATTCCTTTGTATGTATATACAAGAAGATTGGTCAATCTACTTCCATAGTGATACCGCCAGCAAACCCAAAGAGAGGTCACTATAAGTTGAATCTGATTCAACGGCAGTGAGTTTGTTTTTTGTTTTTTTTCTAGTGGTTTAGTGCTTACAGTGCTGGGCTGCTAACCAAAGATCAGAGTTTGAACCCACCAGCTGCTCCATGGGAGAAAGATGTAGCAGTTTGCTTCTGTAAAGATTTACAACCTTGGAAACCCTATGGGGCTGTTCTACTCTCATATAGGGCCACTGTGAGTCAAAATGGACTCAACCACAGTGAGTTTGGTTTGATTTAGGTATATATATATACCACATTTTTAAATTCCATTCATCTGTTGATGGACATTTGAATTATTTCCCTTTTTTGGCAATTGTGAATAGTGCTACAATGTTCCTTCACATGCAAGTATCTGAATCTCTTTTTTCAGCACATTGAATTTTGTATTATCCATTTGCCACAGCTCTGCTACATGTGGGAAAATCAAGTTCAGCATGCATAAACCTGTTTAACTGAGGTTAAATGTATAATGGAGGCTAAAACTTTTTTTAAAAATTATTTTCCTTTGAGAGTGGGGATGAAAATAAGGGAGTACTGGCTCTTATATGAGTCTACCTGTGAGACAAATTACTCTCATCCAAAAAAAAAAAGTTTACTCCCCCATGTATCATTCTAATAATATCTTGAATTGTAATGATCTGTTGTTAGATTGATAATTAAATGTTCCTAGCCACTCCTCGGAAGGAAGATGGGGCAATCTACTTCCGTAGTGATACTGCCTCGGAAACCCAAAGAGGGGTCGCTATGAGTCGGATCTGACTCGATGGCACATAACAACAACAACAATCTCATTCCGTAGGGAATTTTGCATTTCCTAACACCTTTGCACACAGAATTTCTTTTCCAGCAGGTGCAGACACTATCTGATATATACAACTTGTAGCTTCCTATTTCTGGAATGGTTTGCATCCTTGCTACTCAGAGTATGGTCCAAGGACTAGCACTGGCATCATCTGGAAACTTGTTAGAAATGCAGAATCTTAGGTAGCTTCCCAGCCCTGTTGAATCAGAATCTGCATTTTGACAAATTCTCCAGGAGATTAGTAGGGATATTAAAGATTAAGAATAACTGCTCTAAGAAAAATATGTCGTATTGCATGCAGAATTCCTTTCCAGGCCCCTGGTTTCCTTCTTCAGTAAGATATAAATCAATTTGGATCAATTCATCAGGAATTTTCAAACTTGGTTATTGATGAGAATTACCGGGAGAGTATTTTAGAAACACAGATTTCAGGACCTTACTCCAGGCCCCTTAGTAAATGATCCATTGCTTTGGAACACTAAAAACAGCCCTCACATCTTGGATTCAAATTGTAGTGAACCTAAAGATTTTAACTGTTTGATGTCCGATGTGATTCAGGAAAACCAGGGGAGTTGTCAATGAAAGACTTAGGTCCAACTGAGTTCAGGGTATAGGGTTATCTAGACCTCCAATATCTATCTAAATAAGGTCATGACCAGGGTTCCTTCTAAGATGTACTGGAAGCAGCCAGTCCAAATTATTAAATGAATAATTTAACTTTTAAAAACTTTATCATTTCACAGATTATAGTTTATGGAAGGTTGGGCAATCCTACTTCCGTAGTGATACTGCCTCGGAAACCCAAGGAGGGGTCGCTATGAGTCGGGCCGACTTGACGGCAAACAACAACAACAACAACATGTGAAATCTAACTAGAAATTATGTTAATCTTAAAATAGCTCCTTATCTGCAGAATTTAGTCTGAAGTAGCAAGAAAGGGAGCTCTGGTGGTGTAGTGCCTAAGGCATTTGACTACTAACCAGAAGGCTGTAGGTTCAAACCCACCAGCCACTCCTTGGAAGGAAGATTAGGCAATCTACTTCCATAGTGATATCACCTTGGAAACCCAAGAAAGGGTCACTATGAGTGGGGTCCGACTCGATGGCACTGTGTTCTTGTTGTTTTGTTGCAGCAAGAAAGCTTGTGTATAAAAGAAAATTAAAAAAAAAAAAAAGTTAGTGTGAAATAAAACACTCTAAAGAAATTGTCTTCTTTTTGATAGATATTCTATGAATTTCAATAAATATATATTAAATATATCAGGTAAATCAATAGATTTAAAGCTGATTTAAAAAAGAAGAAGAAGAAGAAATGATGGGGGCATGTACTAATCCCAGAGATCCTATTCAATAAGGGAAAACTCTGTGATACTCTCTAGTTTGAGAATCACTGAGCTAAATGATTAAATGTTTTATGCATATATATAAGGAATGATGACATTCATTATTATATTTGTTCATAACTTCATTATGTTTTTTTATTGTAGATTTTCTAAAACAGGATGTCTTTGGCACAATTTTTCTTATGTGATTGAAAAGTAAGAAATAGTTTTTAATATAAGCACTAAGTTTTATGTTAATGTAGTACCAATAATTTAATCACTTCATATTTATTCATTGAATTCCTATAGCATCAATGTATTTGGACTGACACTGTGCAGACAGCTTTGGTATTAAACAAAATGTATAAAGACTATAATAGCTTTTCTGAGACAAGAGAGTGACTCATAGTCTCCCCTTCAATTTAATTGGATAAGCAAAGCAAGCTTCAACTTACATATGTGTAGTCTCAAATCTCATATTTTCCCTTCTAGTTGAAGGAAGAAACAAGAATACTTTTTTCCCTATATATTTTTTCTCTTAATTCTATATACCTGTAGCTAAGATAGTTAGAAGTTACAGTTTTACCAGGACAGTATTAGATATAAATATTTTTTTATATTTATATTTATTATTTATATATCTATTTATATTCTAACTCACTTTTTGCTATATTTTGTATTTGTTTTAAAAAAGATTATTCATTAAAGATATCACAAAATAAAATTTAACTATTATCTTTGTTGTGTTGTTGTGACGTGCTATCAAGTAGGCTCAGACTCGTAGTAACCCTACATACAGCAGAACAAAACACTGCCTGCTGGTGTGCCATCCTCACAACTGTTGTTCTGGTTGAGCCCCATGTAACAGCCATTGTGTCAACCCATCTCATTAAGGGTCTTCCTCTTTTTCACTGACCCTCTACTTTACCAAGCACAAAGTCCTTCTTCAGGGACTAGTCCCTTCTGGTAACATGTCCAAAATACATGAGATAAAGCCTCGCCGTCCTCACTTCTTCGGAACATTCTGGGCGTACTTCTTCCAAGACAGATTTGTTCTTCTGGCAGTCCATGTATATTCAGTGTTCTTTGCCAACACCATAATTCAAAGGCATCAATTCTTCATCAGTCTTCCTTATTCATTGTCCAACTTTTGCGTGATGTTGTTGTTGTT